CCGAAGAAGAGACTGCAGAAAGAAAAAAGTGTGCATAGTGCATATAGGCAGATTGTCGTTAAGGCTCCAAAACTTAGTGGGTAAATTTGAACGAGAAGTGGGTCGACACGACGCCATTAAGCACGAGGTCGATCGTTTCCGGCAAAATTACGACCACGAGGCGAGTGATTATCTGCGCATCAAGATCGCGCATACAGTATCGGTCTATCTCTAGCACTCAGACGGAGCATGCCAGACAGGTGGGCACGACTCTACCCGTCTTTCTCGCACTCGTAGGCGACCTACAGTCACAGCGCTTAGCTTGTCGACAATCAACGCTAATCGATGGATGAAGTCGATTTATCCAAGATAACTATTCAATCACTATCTAAGGATCAAGCTGAACAACTACTGTCACAGTTTTCAAGTGAAGACATTGCTAAAGCGGGTACTTTAGAAGACTTACGTAAAATTTTACGAAAATTACGGGACGCACAAAATCAAAAATTCGTCGATCCAGGAACGACAGATGAAAGTGAGAATGAAAGCGAGTCAGTAGTAGCTGACAATTCCAAATCTATTGTGCCACAAGAAGAAAAACCAATATCAAGTGCGACAGTCCCGCAAGCACAGGAACAAAATAAACAAAATACTGAAACATCTGTAGAGACTGACGAAGAAAATCAAGAAGACGAAACTACCATGGAGAAACATGATAACATGGAGTACAACAAGAATCTCTATACGTGGGATGAATACATAATGAAATGGGAATTATTTTTCGCAGGTTATGACACAAAAGAGGAGCGAAAAACTCCATTATTTCTGACAAAAGCTGGTCATGAAATTTTGAAACTAGCAATTGATTTATGTGCACCAGAAAAACCTAATACAAAAACTTTTGCACAATTAACTAAGATACTAGGAGATCATATAGCTTCAACAAAAAACACAAAAATGGAACGATATACTTTCAGCCAAGCAGTACAAAAACCAAGCGAATCGATAAGCGAATTCGTAGCAAAATTAAAAGACTTATCGTTAAACTGCAAGTTCGACAAGCCAGATGATGCTCTCTGTGATAGATTCATCTGCGGCGTTGTGGACCAGGAAACACGGATTGCGCTCTTCAGCGAGCAGAATCTCACCTTTTCCAGAGCGCTGGAGATTGCAAAAACCAGAGAAGCAGCTGTAAAAAATGCCAACAAGACGCAGAAGCAGTCCGGGCCCAGCTCCATTCAACACATGGGACACCAGCAGCAGCGAGGCGGCAAGAAGACGACTTCGTACGGTGCTAAGCAGGCAGAGGCAAAATACAGCGGTAATAAAGACTCTAATAAAAAACGTTCAAACTTTTCGGCAAACCCTAATTTGTACTGTTACTGCTGTGGTAGAAATAACCACTTGTCAAGAGACTGTTTTTTCAAAGAACGCGCATTCTGCAAATTTTGTAAAAAACAAGGGCATTACGAAGTAGCATGTCTTATAAAAAAAGGAGAAAAACCTGCATCAAACAGCCAAGGTAATAAATTTTATAAGAAAAAAGATAAAAATCTTCACTTACTTAGAGATGAAAGCGAAGATTCTGATTCACAAACAGAATCGATTTGCGGCTGTAATTGTAAAAATCATTCAAAAATTCAATCTATAAAAAGTTTAAAGTTTGATACAGAATTTTACTCCATCGAAAGCGAAAACGAATTCAATAACTGTCAATGCTATAAGATTAAAGCCGAACCTATGTTTATCGATATTGAAGTAAACAATCGTACGGTAAAAATGGAACTAGATACGGGCACGTATGTCACTGCCATCTCAGAGCAAGACAAGCACAAATATTTTTCAAACTTAACACTTGACAAAGTCGAACTTGTACTAACAAGCTACGGTGGTAATGTTTTAGAACCACTAGGTAAATTAAAAAACTTGAAAGTAAAATTTAACAATATTGAGAAAATCTTGGACATATATGTAATCAAAGGTAAAGGCCCAATGCTCTTAGGTAGACAGTGGCTAAAAGCATTCGACTTATGGCCCATCAATTCACTTATGAAAAATCCTCAAAAATCTAATATTCATAATATTCTAACAAGCGAAGGAGTAAAGCAAAAGATGCTGGAAAAGTTTCCAGACTTATTTTCTAATACTCAAGGATGCTATAAAGGGCGGAAAATTCATTTAGTGTTTAAAGAAGGCACCAAGCCAATTCAATTGAAGCCGTACCATGCACCCTTTGCTATATTACCTAAAATTTCCAAAGAACTTCAAAGACTAGTAGATTTGGGTAATCTAGAAAAAGTATCTTGCAGTAAATGGGCGACCCCGATTATCCCTGTTCTTAAGAAAACCGGTGATGTTCGCATATGCGGAAACTTTAAAGTAACAGTTAATCCACAGCTTGTAATTAAAAGACACCCTATTCCTTTGAAGGAAAAAATATTTAATACTCTTAGAATCGGAAATAAATGGTCTCAAGTAGATTTACGCCATGCGTTTATGCAATTAGTAGTAGATAACGAGTCTAGAGAAGCTCTAACTATTATTACTCACGAAGGGTTATATCGATACACTAAATTAGGCGAAGGAATAGCCTCAAGTCCCGCGGAATGCCAGGACATTATAGAAGAAATACTTAAAGGTGTAAAAAATACCGAGATATATATTGACAATATTTATTGTACAGGCGCAACTGATCAGGAGCATCTCGAAATACTAACAGAAATATTTGATAAATTAGAAAAAGCTGGCCTAAGAGTTAATCTCGATAAGTGTGATTTTTTTAAAGATGAGATAGAGATATTAGGTTTTGTTATTAATAATCGTGGGCTACAGCCAAGCGAGTCTAAAATTAATGCAATAAAAAATGTACCAATTCCAAAAAATATCGAAGAACTAGAAGCCTTCCTAGGCTTAGTCAATTTCTATGAAAGATTCTTAAAAAACAGAGCTGATTACGTAAAACCACTTTATGATTTATGCAAAAGTAAAAATTTTGAATGGAATAAAGAATGCCAAAGAGGCTTTGATTGGATCAAAAGTCAAATAACTTCGGATAACGTGTTAGCTTTATTCAATCCAAACGAAAAACTAGTACTGGCGTGTGACGCGAGTAACCACGGACTATCGGCAATCTTATCACATCGGTACGCGAACGGCGAGGAACGCCCAATCGCGTTCGCTTCAAAGATCATTCCAAAAAGTGAAAGG